GTCTCATCTGACCATTTTCTTTAATTATTATTTTAATATTATTTATCCTCCTTATGATTTTGGAGAAGGCCACACTGAGACTGGTTTTCATTTACATGCATAACCACTACAAAGCCAACCAGAAACTAGAGGTTACATAGGCTATTCGACTTATAAATCCACCAGTCAGCAATGTGGGCAGCAGTCATCTAGGTGAGAGCAGTGCTTGATATACAGCAGCGGTGAAATCTGCAGTAAACAGGCAGGGGGAGACAACAGACAGCAGTACTTTACTTACTTTATTTGTGTACTTACTTTACATACTTGATTTGTGTGTAAATACTGTTCAAGATGAAATCAGTTCCACCACAGACTGTGTAAGACTGCGGTAAAAAATAAGGCTGAAATACAGCCTCATGGGCCAGAACCACCGTCACTGATAGGAAACTTTAACAAAACAAAAACAAACTTGCATTAAATAACGTGGACTAATAACGAGATAGCATTAATGTTTTCTGGTTAAGTGACTAGGCCTATATCATGCTCCGAAAGGCTTGGTGTGTAGAAAGGCTTGGTCTGTGAAAGGTGAGATTCTGAGAGCTGTGGTGATTTTAGCAATCAGTTTGCATCAGACAGTCTGTGCCCTTCTGTGGGCAGAATGCCTGAAGCTGAAACTTACTGAGATACAACTAGAGCTGGGCGATATGGCCAAAAATGTTATCACGATAAACAAAATTCATATCGTTCGATGTTGATACATACCGCAATAAATGTCAAATCATTTTTCTTTCAAGTTTCAAGTTTTTTCTTTCAAGGCTGATTTTTGCTCCTGGGTGGTTAATTGCTGTTTTAAACTATCCTTTATGGTCGGAACATGACAAACTCTCGCCAAACAGTGGAACATTTGGACAGTGGACACCAGCTAACGACAACTGGATTTCTCTATACTATCGTAGTAGTTTAAGTGATGAACCGCAAAATATCAACACCAGACAAACAGTCCTCTTTTTAGGTACGTTTAAACTGAAAGCGGTGTTTTTGTGTCTTGTCTGATCTACAGTATCATCAGTTCGCCGTGTTGTAGAGTGAGTTCACTTTCGTTTAAATCAGGGCTGTAATTTACATGAACCCACTTCTTTCACTTTTGTTGCTTGTGAACGCACCAATACTTAAATATGACTGTCCGAGCGCTGTAACAGCGCTGTAGTTGTGAGGATTGTGATTGTGATTTAACTCTGCTAAAGCTGGTTAGGATGTTAGGAAAGAGGTGAGTTCGCTGTAGGACAGTACAGTTACACCACTAACCTCGTCACTCACACTCGGTCACAGGAGAGCAGATCGCCGTCGCTCCACTCAAACGGAATGTATAACTCCGCGTTTCAGCCTTTGCTAAAGACTCATCTTGCTCGTGGCCCCCTCCCTCTCTAAATCATGTAGAAAAACTCAGAAGTGCGCCCTCTCCTGGCGACAGTAGAGTAGTGTTGCTTTCCTTGCAGTAGAAAACGCCAAGGCTTTCGCTGAACGTGGGAGTGTGAGAATGGTGTATTATATCGAACATTTATCAAACATGTCGTATCGCTCTATCGAGGAAAAGTTATATCGCGATAATCATCATTATCGTTTTATCGCCCAGCCCTAAATACAACTAAAAATTCTTCTCAAACCTCTACAGCATCTGCCGCTAGAACCAGCCATTATTAAAAAGGTACTAACAAAATACTTTTCTCAGACGTCCAAAACACTCATGTTTTTTAAAACGGTAATGATGATTAGTCCACTAGTAAACTTTTGAAGACCTAGTCGACTATTAAAATTAATTGTCGTACTCCTAACAGGGACATACAGAATATGCCGTGACTCCTATAATGATCGGCACCCTTGGAAAAGATGAAGAAGTGTTGTCAAAATGAATGTGTACATTTTTGCGATTGATTGTGAAATATTTAACGTGTTTTAAAAAATTAACGCAATTAACACAGCTGGGTGTTTATTTCTTGTGGCGGCTGACCTATGACTAACTGTACCACCAAATCGGACCATCCTGGCTAAAGATGGATAAGTTGTAGGTGGAAAGTATTACTTTAAAAATTTGCCTGATGGAACTTTGGGGAAAATTTAAGCTATCTGCACAGTTCGCAAAGCCGAATTTAATTAGCACAGAAGTAATTTGTCTTTGACATATCACCTCAAAGCAAAACACCATACTGAAGCAATCTCTTTGAGGACTTGTCAGTTTACATCACAGAAGTGTGGCACTCGTGGATGAAAAATTAAACCTGTAAGTGAGAAGGTAACTACTGCTTTGGTTACCTGGATAGCTAAACACTACTGTCCAATTAACATAGTAGAAAATGACAGATTGAGAGAAATCATTCTAATTGCATCAGGAGACACCTCTTATAATCTACCCTCGAGAGGAACCATCGTTTTAAGAATGAACACTTTGTATGAAACCGAGAGGCCACGAAGGATGAACATGCTTAAGCAAGCAAAATGTGTCGCTCTCACAGGAGACCACTGGACTTCTGTGAGCTGTGACAGCTACTTGGGCATCACTGCACACCTCGCTGATAAAGAATGGAATCTGCAGTCGTTTGCACTATAAGGAAAACAGAAACATGAAACTACACAGAGGCATGTGCTGATCATTTTCTGGATGTCGCAAAAGAATATCACAGAAAATTTAACTACGTTTGGCTCTGACAGTGCTTGGAACGTGGTTGCAGCTGCAAGGCTACTTATAATTGAACTTGTTCTGGCTAAATATCGCAAGATTGTCTAGACACTGTAAGCGTGGTCCATCAAACACAGGTGAATTAAAAGAACAGCAGGTTGCACTTGAAGCAAGAATCACTCGTTCAGAATGTTGCAACAAGATGGAATTTTACTCTAGAGATGGTGAAGTGAATCCAGCGAAAAACCACCACACTGGCTCTGCAAAGAAAAATCTAGAGGAAATACTTGAAGGCTTAATTCCGACTAACTGGTGCTCTGCTGACACAATTTAGATTGTAAAAACTTCTTTCTGCCTTTAAGAGCGAAAGACGAGTGACTGGTGGAGTGACAAAGCCAACCTCAAACCTGTTCTGAGGGGTTAGGGACTGTAACATTAAGGCTATACTAACAGTGGCTAAACTAATAGTAACTAAGCCACACTGCACTGCACAGCACAGGCTCAGTTCCAGCTAACTGATGATGAAATGACACCTGTTTGGGGATATAGGAGAGTGCAAAGGCGACTGAGAGGTGTTAGAGCTGAAAACAAACGTGTTCTCTGATGTATGCAGCACCTAGCCAGTGTTGAGCCGCTCTAATGTTTAGTTTTTCTGAGTTTGGTTCTGGTTTTCCTTTCTTTCTGTCAGCACCACCTATCGGTGAGCTCCCACAACACCAATCAGCGAGCTCCTCTAAAATATAAATGGATGGATTGTTATGTTTATTTGTCTGTTCAGAGTAATAGAAATTTGACACATCATGATTTTGAAATACCATCAACATTTTTAAATACTGCAGTATACCATTATACCTGCCATTAAACCTAATTCACTTTGCTGTAGACTGTGTTTAATTTAAAATATTTGTTAAAAAATTGAATGTTGAAATGTATTCAAGCAATCAACTTTTATTTGAAATCAGAGTACATTGAAGGTGACCCTCACTACAACACAGCCAAGCACTATACAGCAAAGGTGTAATTGAAAAGATTAAGTATCCATTTGTGATAAAAAAAAGTGTAGCAAAGAAAATAAAATATGATCAAGAAATTGTTATTTAAACAATACATAAAAATAAAAATGAGAACATGTTAAGAAAATGAGACAAATCAGGACAACCAGTTAAACATTAAAGCAGTTTAGTAATGAAAAATGAATAAAAATTAGTAATAAAAGTAAGTAAATAAAATGACTGAGCAGGGTAAGAATAAGATAAAACAGAAAGCTTTAGTAATGATAAAATGATAAAATAATAAAAAAGTAAAATAAAGGTCAATAAAAAAACTAATCAACCAGGAAAAAAAAAACTAAAATAGATAATATAAAAGCAACTAAAATATATGAAGAAGAAAAAACTAAAACAACTAAAACAGTTGCAGGCTGAGTGGAGGTGGTTACGGATTTAAAGTGTAAAATCCAGCTCGCTGGTGCACAGTAGCTAAAAGCAGATTTTCTCAGATGCCAAGGTACTTGTATTCAGTGACCCTTTTGATTCTGGATCGCTTCAGGCTAGTAATATTTAGTGAGTTAAAATCAAATTAGAAGTTCTGGAAAACAGCATGAATTTGGTCTTCTTCACATTTAAAACTAGTCTGTGCTTATAAAGAGCTGTTTGTAAGGCATCAAAAGAGTCTTTTAGTTTTTCCGCTGCTGCCTGTATGGAATTAGGAGAGTAATATAAAATAGTGCCATCTGCATATAGGTGTACTTTACAGTCTGAGGTGGAGGCAGGAATGTCATTGATATTTATATTGAATAAGACTGAACCTAGAACTGAACCTTGTGGAACACCTTTAGTTACCGGCATTAGATCAGATTTATGGTGTCCCAGGGCCACACCCTGGTGCCTACCAGAAAGGATATTCTGGGCCCAGCTTGTAGCTTTGGCATCTTAGCCTTTTTTAAGGCTTTTCAAAAGTAGTGAATGATCAACTGTATCAAAAGCTTTGGAAAGATCAATGAAAAGCGCAGTACAATGCTTCTTTCTGTCTATGGCAGTAAAAAGGTAATTTAAAAGAAGTGTAACAGTTGCAAATGTATTCTTCTATGATTTTGGCTATACATGACAATTTGGATATAGGAGTATAATTACTGAGATCTGATGCCTCCCCTCCCTTTTGTAGCAGAATGACATAAGCTGTTTTCCAGAACCTGGGAATTCTGCAAGTTAAAATGGAAAGATTAAAAATGTACATTAATTTTTCATTTTTGAATCATGAACTATTTTAGTAGTATGTTATGAAACAATTGCATAAAATGAAACAAGAAAAGGACTTTTGTGTAATTATGACAAAATGTGCAGTTTAAGAATAATGAGAATTTTGTCCTGGTTGTCTTCTTCAAAAATATTTGAATGTGTTAATTTCACAATGTATATATCTTTTTCCGCAAAAATCAAAATGACATATATAAAAACTAGTGCTTGCCAGCACAGTGTTGTGTTATCCAGAACGTCCCAAAGCTCTGCTGTGTCGTCTGATGCTGAGTTCTCACACTGAATGTTCTGCAAGCGAAACACAGTCATGTTAAACTGAGAGTCATAAAGATTTTCAAAGAGCAGTGTTTACTGTTGTATAGAGTCACAAACAGGGCTGGATGCAGTTTAGGAGATACAGATACTGCATGCTCAACTTCTGTTCATCATACTGTAATCTTCATTTGCTCTTTAATGTGGCTGAGGGTTGTTTGATCATATGGTGCCTATAGTGTTAACATTACAGTAACAATCTTTTCAGGCCACAAATCATGATTTTTTCCCTACATTTAGGAAAAAGAGTTAATGATTTCACATCATAATCACTCACTCTCATTCAGCTTCCTGGACAGCAGCCAGTCTTCTTCCTAAAGTCCATGATCATTCGCTTTAAAGGTCTCTACAACCTCCCCTGCTGTGCAGAAGTTTTGAAGCTGAAAAAGTGCATGATGTCACATTTAGTAATGCAGAGGATAATTTATTAAAGCTGATATGTAATATGTAATTTAATCATTATAAATTTGGCCAATTTTGGTCAAAAATGTACTTGCCGCCTCCTAATTTCTGTGAGCTTTTGCTTATACATTACATACTTAGGCATTAAAAAAAACAAATGTCAACCCAAAAGTCTGGAGTGTCTGTGATGCAATGCAAGATTTTTGATGATGGTTCATTCTGTTGCTTATTATTAAGCAAAAATAAATTATTAGCAAAAGGCGGCCATGATTTTTATTGATTTTCTGTCGTCTTAGATTCATGCTGAACGCTAAAGCTCCAGTGAGATAGGCTTTGTTTTTAATTTCAGTTTGAGTTGGGTATATACTATCATCTGTTGTTAATACATAATCAATTTAAAATGAAAGACAGATGAGTATAAATAATAATAATAATAATAATAATAATAATATGCCTTTTTTTCACTTTGAGTAAAAGTTGTTGAATCGGAATGGACCCAGGCTTGCTTATTGGAGCGCTGCCATCATTTGCCTAACTCTGCCTGTCCTCACTCTTTTAGAGAGGAAACAAAGCATGTACAGAGAGCACATGCAACACGTGCTCTCATGGCGTTTTTAGCAGTAGATTATCAACACTAAATTAGGGCTGGGCGATAAAACGATAACGATAAGTATCGCGATATAACTTTTCCTCGATAGAGCGATACGACATGTTCGATATAATACACTGCTCTCACACTTCCACGTTTTAGTGAAATCCCTGGTGGCGTTTTCTACTGCAAGGAAAGTGACACTACTCTGCGACACTACTCTGCTGTCGCCAGGAGAGGGCGCACTTCCGAGTTTTTCTACATGATTAGAGAGGGAGGGGGCCACGAGTAAGATGAGTCTTTAGCAACGGCTGAAACGCGGAGTTATACAGTCCCTGTTTGAGCGGAGCGACCGGCGATCTGCTCTCCTGTGACCGAGTGTGAGTGACGAGGTCAGTGGCGTATCTGTACTGTCCTACAGCGAACTCACCTCTTTCCTAACATCCTAACCAACTTTAGCAGTGTTAAATCACGTCTGCAGCGCTGTGTTACAGCGCCGAACCGTCATATTTTAGTATTAGTGCATTCTCGAGCAACGAAAGTGAAAGAAAGAAGTGGGTTAATGTGAGTTACAGCCCTGATTTAAACGAAAGTAAACTGAGGAAGCTGTGAGGCATTGGGAAGCGGTAGAGCGCTAGGTTAGCTTTCCAGGCTAGCTGTTTTTAGCTGCTGGCTAACTTGAAGCAGCGCTCCGGCACAACACGGAGAACTGATGATACTGTAGATCAAACAAGACACAAAATCACCGCTTTCAGTTTAAACATACCTAAAAGGAGGACTCTGTTTGTCTGGTGAGAGAGATTCACACTGCAGATAATGCTTTTACACAGCGAGCGTCAGATATACTGCGGTTCATCCCTTAAACTTCTACGATAGCATAGAGAAACCCAGTTGTTGTTAGCTGGTGTCTGAATACTGTGATATGCTCTGACATGGATGTGGTAGGAGTGACAGCAGTGACCTCCCGAACCGAGTCGACGTTGTTGAGAAACTAAAGAGTTTAGCTCTGTTGTTGGCCACTTGTTTAGCATTTGTAACGGGGTAGCCGAGCGCTCGTCACCAGACAGCTAAAAATAATCTGTTTTCTTTCTTAAATCATGACTATTACAAAAATTGCAGCTGTGCTTTTCCAGCTGATAAAAACAGCTCAGAAACTTTCTCCCACTCTTCCAAGACAGATTAGTGAAATGTTCCACTGTTTGCCGAGTGTTTGTCATGATCGGACCGTAAGTGATAGTTTAAAACCACAGTTAACCACCCAGGAGCAAAATCAGCCTTCAAACTTGAAAGAAATCGTAATTTGACATTTATCGCGATATGTATCGATATCGAACAATATGAGTTTTGTTTATCGTGATAACGTTTTTGGCCATATCGCCCAGCTCTACACTAAATTCAGAATCATAGTCAGATGATTCAGAATCATGTGACTGATTCAGAATGATTCCACATTTACAGCAGGTGATTTAAATGGAGGATTTAAACACAGATATAATGGAGTGGATTGCATCAGATTTTTGGTCGTTTTGTGATGTGTGTATCATGTCTCTTTATTAACGCTTTGTTGTGATATGAAGCCTAAAGACAGAGAACTAATTTTAGGTTATAGAGTCGATTTTTTCATGCCACAATACTCACTGATGTTATGTCACACCTCGATGATTTCACTCTGGCTAAATGGCAGGGTCTGCTGATTGCAGATATGTGTATCATGTCTGTAGCTTAAATTGTTCTGAAGTTGTGATGGCTAGAATCAGCACAATTCATTTATTTTGTATTATTTATTCTAAAATCAATCCCTGTTTAGTTCTTTTGCTTTGAGTGTCTGTGGATCCCTGCTTGCTTTGAAGAAAGTTCTTCAGTAACTGAACTAAAAATGGTAAATAAATAATTTTACCTTCTCAGTCGAATCCATTAAGGTACCGTTCACATGTGTTGCATTTTGTGGGATTTCCTCTAAAATCACACCCTGAATTGATTGGTTGTCTGATGCTAATGTTGCTGAAGGTGTTGCCACTCCTGTCGTCCTGGGCAGCAGACCGGGGTCTTTTTCTTTGCTTTCTCTTTCACTGAGGAATAAATATGAAATTACACAAGTCAGATTGCCAAAATAAAGTGAAAAAGCATGGCTTTTATATGACAAGTTTGCCTGTATTGTTCTGTACCATATATACTCCTTAATGTATTACATTTAATTATTTAAAACATTTATTACAAAGTCAGCTCATGATTATTTTTATTGAAATATATTTTGAATCATGAACTATTTAATATATTGATAAACAGTTGCATTAATATCAAACAAGAAAAGAACTCTTGTGACATTATTACAGAAATGTGCAATTTTAGAATAATTAGAATTAAATTTGTCCCGTTTATCAGCTTCAAATTAACACTGATATAGATCATAAGTATTACAATTACATGAATAAATACTAAGGCTTTGCGTACATCTCCAGGGCACAACGTTGTAGGTTAATCAGAAGTTGATGAAGTTCTACTTTGTCACCTGATACTGGGTTCTTGCAATAAATGTTCTGCAAATGAAACATATAGTCATGTTAGGAGAGTTTAGGAGATACAGATACTGCATGCTCCACCTTCTGTTCATCAAACTTTAATCTTCATTGCTCTTTAATGTGGCTGGGGGTTGTTTGATCATATGGGGTCTGTAGTGTTAACATGCAAATAACAAATACTTTAAGGACAGGAATTGTGTTAAAATGTGTTTTTCTTCATTCAGGAAAAGAGTTAATGATTTCATAATCACTCACTCTTGTGTAGGCCACAAGCTTCTTGGGCAGCAGCCAGTCTGCTTTCTGAAGTCCAAGATCTTCTGCTTTAAATGTCTGTAGAACCTCCCTTGCTTTGCAGAAGTTTTCAGACTGGAAAGGTGCATGTTGTCAGATGCAGAGGATGATTTATCACAGCTCATATATAATATGCTGACTTAATAAAAGTGCATTTTATTTCTCTCAGACAAAGAACTTATATGTAACTTACAGTGCAGTGTCCGGGTTTTATTACTTGTTGAACAGAAATCTGTGAAAATATACATTGAACAGCTCTTGTTATAGTTTTTATTATGACATTTTCAAGTATTTAAGTTTACAGTAAAAATAAAAACCAAATACCTCATACCTTTTTTACTGTCATGTCTAAGGTGCCTGCCAAGCGGTTTACGTTTTCTATAATCTCGTGTAAAATCACACCCTGAAGTGCATCTGATGTCACTGGTGCAGTAGATACTGCCATTGCCGTCGTTGTGGGCAGCGGATCATCTTTTTCTTGAAGTCCATGGTCTTTGCTTTCTCTTACACTGTAATATATTTTTCATATGTTTATATGCATTGTAAACGTGTAAAGTAAAATATACTTCTTAATTTATTGCATTTATTAATTTAATACACTTATTACAAAGTGGGCTTATGCCCTGCAAAGGACTGGTGACCTGTCCAGGGTGTATCCTGCCTCCCACCCATTGACAGCTGGGAAATGATTCAGCGGCCTACAGTGACCCAGAAGGATAAGCGGTTTAGATGGTGTGGGTGTGTGTGTGTGTGTGTGTGTGTGTGTGTGTGTGTGTGTGTGTGAGAGAGAGAGAGAGAGAGAGAGTGTGAGTGGCTCATGCTTATTTTTAATCAGTATTGAAATGTTTTCATTGTTGAACCATGAACCAGGTTTAGTTGTATTTTGATAAATAATTGTATTAAGAGGAAGCAAGAGAAGCACTCTTTTGACATTGTGACAAAAATGTGCAGTTTAAGAATTATTAAAATAAAATTTGTCCCATTTATCAGCTTTAAAAATATTAGAATGTGATATGCTCCAATTATTTATGAATAATTTGAAAATGTATGTATTTTTATCTGCACTGAGGCTATGTTCAGATTGACAGTCCAAATCCATGGCATATCCAGATTGTATCCAGATTAATTTTGGATAGTCTGAACAGCAAAAAAAAACAACAAAAAAAAAAAACACATGAAATCAGATTTTTTATCCACATTTTAATTGGATTTTTACAGATATGTCTCAGTCTGGACACTCTGGCTGCTAAACTGAATTTCAAAGTGTCTTTTGCATTACTCCCAACACAACAAACAACGACAATATCAAACTCCAGAATGAGGGGATGTGCTGGGATTTAAGAAGAGCGCTAAAGATTCACGCTTATGCCAGCTAATTTTGGAGAGTTTGGAGGGTGAGATGATGAACCTCCACCTCTCCTGTATCCGCTTTTGAAAACTGCGTCACCAGTGTAGCTATGCAATTACTGACGCCTATGTTGTTACCACAGCAACCCATGCAGATAAGTTGGTGATGTCTGGTCACACAAATCTGATCTGAGTACTTGCAAATAATAGTGTGGACAGATCTCAAAAGATCTTATTTGCCTGCACTCTGAACATAGCCAAATATATATTATAAATATCAAAATTACAGAAGTAAATACTAACTTTGCATACATTTTCTGGGTGCAATGTTTTATGTTAAACAGAAGTTGATGAAGCTGTACTTTGTCATCTGATGCTGAGTTCTTGCACTGAATGTTCTGCAAGTGAAACACAGTCATGTTAAACTGAGAGTTAAACAGTCATAAAGATTATCAAAGAACAGTGTTTGCTGTTGTTTAAACACATCACAAACAGGGCTGGATGCAGTTTAGGAGATACAGATACTGCATGCTCAACCTCTGTTCATCATACTTTAATCTTCATTAGCTCTTTAATGAGGCTGTGGGGTTAACATTCAAATAATAATGTTTAAGGCCAGGAATCATGTTAAAATGTTCTTTCCATATTCAGGAAAAAGTTTATTTCATATCTTAATCACTTACTCTGGTTAAGGCCACCAGATTCCTGGGTAGCGGCCAGTCTTTTTCCTGAAGTCCAAGATCTTCTGCCTTAAGTTTCTCTAGAACCTTCCCTGCTTTGCAGAGGTTTTGTGGCTAGATAAGTGCATGATGTCAGATTTAATAATGCATAAGATAATCTATCACAGCTCATATATAATATGCATAGTTAATAAAAGTAAATTTTCTTTCTCTCAGACAAAGAATGTATGAATAACTTACAGTGCAGTGTCTGTCTGATATTACTGCTTGCACAGATATCTGTGAAAATATACATTTAACAATCATTGTAGTTTAGAGTTTTTCTTTAAGTATTTAAGCCTGCGCTAAAAATGTTAATTAAATAATGTCTTACCTTCTTCACCCTATCATTTAAGGTGCGGTTCAAGCGATGCACATTTCCTAATATTTCTTTTAAAATAACTTTGTTTATTCTCAGTGGTGTGGCAGGGTCTGCAGTAACCACCATGATGGACATAAGGAAAAGTGAGTAGGTCTTCATGATTTTAGCAGCTTCATTCAGTTATCAGGACCTGGATGTGCAATGTCTTCAGTGCTATAGCTCTGTCTTCTTATAGTGTTGACAGAGGATGTGACTGCACAGTTTACAAGTTATCTGAAGGAAAACTTTCAGATATCTTTGTGGAGATTACACGTCAGTAAGAACTTTAATGAAACCAACCTAACACCACTGCATGTGGTCTTCCAGTAGACACTTTAAACAGGATATTTCTGAAAGCAAGGAAACGATCGTTCATATCAGAAGACTGACCGTAAAAAGGGTTTGCAGCTGTTAAACTAGTAGGTAACTGAGTTTGATTGAAATTTTAAGTTTGCACACACACACATTTGATAAGCTGCTTATCCTTCTTGGTCGTGGAGGGAGCTGGAGCCTATCCCAGCAGTCATAGGGCGGAAGGCAGGAAATTTTTAGTTCATTGAAGTTATAATATTAAGTTGACTGATAAATATTTTGTGTGAATACTTGTGTTACTTAATATTTGAAGTTCAGTGAACTCAGCATTTCAACTTAATCTGGGTACTTAGTTTGAAAGATGCTTCAATTTTTTCTTTTTAGAGAGTATTTTGGACAAAAATGTGTTTCATTTGAAGTATAAAGAGGAAGGTTTATGGCAAAAAGAACCTGTCTTTAGTGCCAAAGGCTTTAAAATGGATATTCACCTTAAAATACCTCTCCAGCTGAGCCATGTACTGTCTGTAGACAGGTGCTCCTGGAGGAAATGGTAAGATATGGTAAATGGTAGGATGGTAGCTATAGTTGTTTGCAAAGGTTTGGGCACCACTACTCAAATGACACAATCTGATGATTTTCTAAGTGAAAAGAAATTAACACCACTTATTTTACCACCAGACCTGTCCAGGGTGTATCCTGCCTTCCGCCCGATGACAGCTGGGATAGGCTCCAGCACCCCATCGCAACCCAGAAGGATAAGCGGTTTAGATGATGTATGTATGTATGTATTTTACCACCACCCCCCAAATCATGGTGGATTTTGAGGTATCTTTTGTATCACTGTCCTGTTGTAGAAGACAGCATCTTTTCAGCTTTAGTGTCTCTACTTAGTGTGGGGCTTTAAATTCCAAAATTTATTGATATTTAGTAGAATCCTTTCTTTCCTCTGTTTCCACTTACTGCCACTCAACCCCAAAGCATAAGAGATTCACCCCATGCAGCAGTTACCTAATTGTCAAATGTATCTCATTTTTTACTATTTAGTGATTGTTGCTAAAGAGTTCCAATTTTACTTCATCAGTCCACAGCACGTGTTTCCAAAAATGAATCTGGCTCATCTAGATATTGTTTTGCACACTTCAGCAATGGATATTTTTCATGAAACAACAGTTACAGTTAGCTTTGGATGAACCTAAAATGTAGATGATTTTTGTCCAACAACACTGCACAGTGGGCCAGCCAAACACATCTTCCTTTAGGTTCTTGGCAGTGTTGTGGGGGTTTTGCTTTGCATACCTTATATACACCTTTAAATGTCGCCATCATACCCAAACGACGTCACCAATATAAGGCTAACAAATCCTTCGATCTGGTAGTTATTAAATTACTAGGTATTATGTTCTCAGTCCTTGACAGACCATCATCCCTCACTTCTTTTTGGAAGTGAGAGAAAGTGGTTGCACTCCTCTATCAATTTATATTGAGCTTCAGTACTGTTTAGCTACAAACTTTGAGTTTTACATAGTCTCAGAGGTGAAACATTTATGTGAAACTGTGTTTTGTGGCAAAGAATCTGGAATTTTGTGTATGCTCTTTGTAGCATGCTGCTCACAACAAGCAGCAAAAACAGACTCAGGTGGCAATGAGAAAAGACCTGTTTACACCTGGTCATTTCATGTTTCTTGAGTGTTAGGAATATATCTGAATGAGGCCAAGCCACGTGAAAATGCAAGTGTAAGCACACCCAAGATGTTTTCAAAACAGATACAAATCTGATCTCTCAAACCACTTCAGGAGGTGGTCTGAGATGCATTTGAGCCACATGTTATAGCAGTATAAACACATCCGTCCTCCAAGACACATTCAACAACCAAAACCCAGTACAAGTGAAACTCGTCACTGGGCAAGTGATCTCTGTCTTTGAGGAAGATAACCACGGAGGAAGCACATGGTTGCGGACCTGACAAAACTAAATGTTTATTAGCAATATGGACAGACACTACTGTGCAAAACAAACTGCAGACGAAGAGGTTAAACAGATGAACTACTGGTAATTGGTTGCTGCGTAATAAGCAGATTTGCATATTCCTTCCTACATGGCAATCAGATTTTAGTCAGACTAACCAGAGATATATTTGACCACCAATTGTAAATGCATCTTATCAGGATACAGTCCAGCTAATAGTCTCCAGATATGACCAGGTGTAATCAGGGTCAAAATGTACACTCACTGTGATGCGACTGAGCTCCATGTTACTGCAACTGGACATAGCTGTGTGTTAAAGTTTCCTTTGGTCAAGGGGCGTCAATGCAGCCAGGAGCAAAGGAACAGATTTTCATTGTTGTGCAATAAATGGATGTGTGCTGTTCCTTTCACCATCCACCTGTGAGTTTGTTGAAGCACCATTCCAATTCTTGCCACTTGGTGGCGCTTTCTCTCTTGTGACACCACTGTGGCATCAGCGTAGAAGGAGACGCATGAAGAGGCCATTAATTCTACTACAAGAAGTGCTCTTTTATTTACACTGGCAGAAAAGTCACATGAAAAACAGCTGGGGATAGCAGGCTGGTCATTTTTGGCCATATAGTTTCGCTTTATGATTAACGCCACAGCCCAACACAATAACACATTTCAGTCCAACAACAAACAACATAAGGAACAACACAGCAACAGCAATTATGTTTTCTAATGTGGGGACGGTTTAGCATACCACACCACTGAGCTCCTCTTGACGTGGAGCATGTGGTGAATGTCACAATACTTCTCATACACGTCCGTCAAACTAACGGTTTCAGTAAGGTAATGACTAATCGACTAGTAAAAATGAAGTCATGCCACTCCTAACAGGAACAGACAGAATATGCTGTGACTCCCAGAATGACTGGCACCTTTGAATAAGATAAAGAAGACAATGGAAACTATCAAAGTTGTTTAAGTTGAAATTAAAAATTAATAGAAAGGTAATGTTTGACTGAGAAAAACTGTGTAAGGATGAAACCCAGATCTGCAAAATATCAGTCCATTAAAACACAAGACGTAATAAGAAAAGCTATATACTATAAAAAGTAAAGTGCAGAACATTTATTACAAGCTAGCGCATTTCATAAATATTATCATGAATTTTCACACTTCTGGCTTATTTATTAGTGTATTATGAAATTATGTTAAGATGAAATGAACAAAGCGCTGTTGTGACATTGCAAAAATGTACACATATCCTTTTGTAACAGTATGTAAAGGAAGCAGAAGCATCATAAGTGATGAAACATTTGAACTAAAACACTCACTGGAGTTTAGATGAGAATGTTTCAAATCTAAGGGAATGAACTCGAGCAAGTGGCTTTGAAAAGACAGAACGGTGAAATTAAACCTGTTCTGTGGTGTTCGGATCCCTAGCCTGATCACGTAACTTAATGTTAGCTTAGTGAGCAGCCTACAGACCCAAACAGTGTCTCACACCACAGTACAGGTTTGATTCTGACTAACTACTGCACTGCTGACACAAGTTTAGATGATAAAAACTAATGTCTGAGTGAGCAAAGGTTGGGTGAGTGGTGTTGGAGTGACAGAAAGCTGAAATGGAACCTGTTCTGTGGTGTTTATGATTGTTGCGGTTTTGCTAAGCTATTGATAGATTGGCTAGCTGACCACATGTGCTACACACCACAGCACACCTTCAGCTAACTGGTGCTAAAATGCTAAAATGACACCCGTAAGAGCGCAAAGTCAGATGACAGGTGTTAGAGTGAAAGCTGAGATCAAACATGTTCTGTGGTGTGTGTAGCTCTTTGCTGTCGTTAAGCTGCTATCATGGTAATTTTTTTCTGGCTCTGATTTTCCCCTATTTCTATCAGCTCCACCTTTCAGTGATCCCTTCCAAAATATAAATGGAGGGATCTGGCCCTTCATGTGTGGAATAGAAATTTGAAGCATCATGATTTAGAAATAACTTAATTTTTAAGTACCACAGTATACATTATTATTGTTATACTGCCCAACCCTAATTTACTGTGCTGTACCCCATGTACTCCTTTTATAACATCTATTGCAAAATTAGCTCACACTTTTTTTATTAAATATTGAAATTTGTTCAACAGTTAGTTCCGGCCACGCAAGCTGATTGGTTGAGAAGCGTTCTAACTGTGCTGTTATTTCGCCATAACATCACGTTTTTTCCACCAACACTGTATCACTCCGCTGAGACGCCCTTGCTAAGCAACGACTTTGACAGCTGTAGGAGACGCTCAAGCTATTTGAACTTCTTACTTTGCCCCCAAACAGAAAATGGATACTTTTAAGATTACATTTGACCGACAGTCGATTTGGTCAGACTCTCAAGATGAGACTACACTAAACTCCCAAACTGTCAGTTGGTCTGTGTGGAGCTGGAGAACGGACTGCCAGCTGTGCAGCGAGTGAGCGGAGTTTGTTACTCTGACATAGCAACAAGCTGCTTGTAAAGGAACTATAATTTGGTGGGATAATTACTAACATTAAAACATATTAAATGGCACATTCATGGGCCAATTTATTTATTTATTACTTTATTTATTTAACTATTGTATGAAAGCAACAGAACACTCAAGGTCGTGTGTTATCGCCTTCGGCTCGTGCTTGTGACCAAATCACAGCCATGATGTTATTTCGCGATAACACACTCCCTCTCATGTACTAATGCTTATTCATTTTTAAACTATTTTAGTAGTATATTTCAGTAATAGCACGATGAGGCTCATTTGAGGTATACGCCCCAGTTAAAAAGGTATTGCATTGATGTTGTTTGTGCTGTTCTGTTAGTTTGAGATGT